GGGTCTCTGTGGCTCTGTTTCTGAATTTCCTCTTCTTGTAAGGACACCAGTCAGATTGGATTAGTGCTCCCCTTGAAGGCCTCGTTTTAACTTAGTCGCCACTTTAAAGGCCATGTCTCCAAATACAATGACATTCTGAATTGTGTTAGGAGAGACAATTCAGCCACAACACTAATTGTGTAGTCAAGATCTTGAATAGTAAATGGTTTTTTGTGATAAATTTTCCCAAGCCAATTTTTGGATTAAAAAAAATCCTATATTGAAAAAAACAACTCCCCCCCTCACCAGGCCATGTGTGTGTAAATGTGGAACACAAAACAGCGTAGGCGCTTTTTACTGAGCCTTTAAAATGACTGCCTAACATAACGCCACATACCACGTTAAGTGTCTTGGTGTATTTTGAGTTTTTCCAGGCTAATGAATTGGGTAATTTGGGAGTGGAATCAGAGTTCTGCTGGAGTGTGGTGGGTGATCACTGTGATACACAGGAAAACATCCGTTCTTCGGTTTCAAGCAAGTGCGTTATGTTCAATGGCCTCCTGGCTTTCAGTATTGCTACCAGAATACCTTTAAACCATAACCTGAACCAATATTATGCAGTGTGTGGTTGGTTATGTCTGGGGGGTCCTTCCCATTCATTTCTTGCTTTTATCCACTGTAGCCATTTTATATCAAAGTTTAGCAATAACAGGTTTCTGGGAGAAGTCTTGTTCTTTCATTCTCTCTCACTCCTCTGGCATATTTGGTTGGTAACAGTGAGGGCATGTGAAATGCTACTCCTCGTTTTCTTACCAGTTGTTTTATTTTTATTTTTTTGTATCTTTTAAGTGGGCACTGGCTTCCCGCAGGCACCTGAGCTTCCCTCGCAGCCCCGGCTTCGTCCGGAAGGTCCTCTGGAAGGACGTCCAGTCTAACTAGCACATTATGCTTTTATTATTATAGATCATATTGTGTTTTGCAAAGTTGTGCTGTCTCTCTGAATAAACTGCATATTTCTTGAGGGCACGGACTATATTTTTATAATTTTTTCTATATAGCAGAGTGTTTGCAATGCTGGTTAGGTGAGTAGATGGTTGAATGAAGTGAGGCTGAAGAGAACTATCCATATGATCCTATAATTTGCTCCCCCCCCCCCCATTTTGACTAAATTACATAATCTCAGTTACTTGGTCACTTGATCTTAAGGGTTTTTGCAGTGCAATAGTAAAATGTACTTTCATGGAACCAGTGATTCTATACCATCTGTTTTGTATTTTGGAGGTTTTTGCTATAAATAATAAACAAGCATGGCTGATTAGCAACCTTTGGGTTGAGGCTTTTTGGCACAATAGAATAGTGAAATCCTATTTTTAATCTTGCTGCTTTGAAATTTAAAAATACATATTGATTAAATGAAATCATCTCCAAAGGGAAGAGTATTTCTTTTAAGATAATAAGGAGAGCCCTGGCCAGGTGGCTTAGTTGGCTTAGTTGGTTGAAGCATCATCCTGTAAATCAGAATGTTGTGGGTTCCGCTCCCTGTTGGGGCACATGCCGGGTTGTCGGTTCGATCCCAGTCAGGTTGCATATGGGAGGCAACTGATCCATATTTCTCTCACATTAAGGTTTTTCTCTCTGCCTGCCTGTCTCTATACAATCAATAAAAACATAGCCTCGAGTGAGGATAAGTAAATAAATGCTTAGATAATAAGGGGGAAATGTTACGGCTCAATTCTTGATTATTATTGCAGCTACATAAGTAACTTTTAAATTGTTTTTAAGACTTTCTTTTTCTTCTTACAGGACCTCTTTATTGTTAGACATGAATTGGCCATAATGAGACTAGCTGCCTTTATGGGCATTACTATGTTAGTTGGAATAACTGGACTCTTTTATACTCAACTAATTGGCATCATCACAGTAAGTATATTTTTAATGTAAAATATTGTATTTATGAACATATTGCCTAAGTATGAACTTAATTCTAAAATGTTACAGAGAGTTTGGAAATTAGAGGAGAAAATTACCCAGAGTCATTTATCCCCATTGTCAGAAGCCTGTGTAATTTTAAAGTAGTTATAATCAGTGTACAGAGTATACATACAATTTTTCATCCTGCCTTTAACATTTAGCATAAACCATTTTTGTATAGCTGTGGACTCCATAAGCAATCTCTCCCCTGCTGATCAGGGTCGGTGTGCAGTTACTGTTTTCTGTATCACAAAGGACACTACTTTGTGGAAATGGAGTTACTGATAGAAACACTTTATTAGTGATTAAACCTTATTTTTGCATGTACATATTAGCTAAATGGGATTTAGCACAACAGAAAAGATCAAAAAGTGTGAGAAATATTGATAAGAACTTAAATGTTTGACAATACATGGCATTGCAGAAGATGTAGGGTAAACACTCTTCTCATATATTGGTTGGGGTGTAAATTGGTATATCCTTTTTGAAGGACAAATTATCAGTGTCTGAAAATTTAAAATGCACAGTCCTTTCTTTACACATCCTGTAGAGACTATTTAATTATATGTTAATAAACATGTAATTTAAAAAAGATCTTCATTATTATACTATATATAATGTATGTATTATATATGAAAACTGAAGTGATTATCAGAATGTATTCAATGAAAGAAATGTAAGAAAAAAACAGATCAGAATTTACTCTAAAGCAATAGTATTCAAGAAAGTATGGTACCGGCATAAAGATAGACATATTGATAAATGAAATGGAATCGAGGATCCAAAGTATACATGTATCCTTATGGACAATTATTTGCAATAAGGGTGCCAAGACTGTTTAATGGGGGAAGGTAAAGTCTTTTCAAAGAAATGCTGCTGGGACAACCAGCTATCCACATGCAAAGGAGTAAAATTAGACCCTTACCTCACGCCATGGACATACTAGTATATGAACTCAAAATGGACCATATACCTAAATGTAAGATCTGAAATTATAAAAATTATAAAACTCATAGAAGAAAACAAATGCTCGAGTCTTGGGTTAGGCAGTACTATCTTAAATATGACACCAAAAGTGCAAATGACCAAAGAAAAAAATTGATAAATTGGACTTACTCAAAACTTTTGTGATTCAAGGGACACTATTAAGAAAGTGGGTGTGTGTGTGAGAAAACAGCTCACAGAATGGGGGAAGTATTTGCAAATCATGTATCTGATAAGAGATTTGTATATAGAGTATATAAAGAACTCTTATAACTCAATCATAAAAAGATACTCTAATTAAAACATGGGATAAGGATCTACATGGGAATTTCTTCAAAGAATATATACAAATGGACATTAAATACATATAAAGATGCTCAGCATCATTAGTCATAAAGGAAATGAAAGTCAAAACCATAATGAGGTTTTGACTATAATAAAAAATATACCAACAAACGTTGGTGATTCATTATAAAGTGCTTATAGTGTAGTAATTCAGTCATAAAGTAATTCACAATTACAGTAATCCCTCGATTTTGCAGACCTCGATTTAATGGACTTCAGATTTAATGGACTCAATTTCCAGTCTGTAGTTCATATGTGAAAATTAACACCCTATTAATTTTAAAATGCTTTTAACCAAGATTTGCTTATAATTAAATTAACGGGTTTTCTTGTTTGTTTGTTATTCATTTACTGCTATTTTTAACAACTTTTAGTGAATAAGATAAAATAATTAGAAATTACTTAAATTTAAAAATAGTGGATTTCTAATCAATTTCCAAGGTTAAAAGTCAACACAACCAGATGTTTCTGTGGACTAGACTGATCTTAAGCCCAATTTTAAAGAATTATCTTTTATTATTTTTAGATTTAATTTTAAACAGGATTTAAATATATGTGCTTGTATATTTTTACTAAAATTAATATTGACGTTAAAGTGTTTTCAAAGCAATCAACTTTAAAGCGTTCTTTATTTAGGGAACACAGATTATTCTAATTTTTCCTTACTTAGACTGTTTAGTCTTTTTTTTTTTCTGTTTCTGAATGAAATGGGTAGTGATGGTAGTTATTAGTGTAATTGATGTCAGAATTTCTTATTGAGCAATAGTTCACACACAGCCAAGAATAGTGTTCATCTGACAACCACCAATACTAATGGTGCTGGGTGATGGTGTCAGTCATGTTTCCAGTCACTGGGCTTGGAGAGAGTTAATCAAGAAGTGCAGTAACAGCTGGCCCAGCGCTTCTGGCGAGCTTCTGACAGTGAGCTATTGTATGTGTGACAGTGCTCTGACAGTTTCTCTGAATGTGGTATACAGGCATTTTTGTTTTCTGGGCACCGTGGAGTTTATGTAATAGATTAAGCTTTTGGTGGGGTCTCTGGGGCTTAGTGTTTTTCTCAGTTGTGGTGAGGTTTGGGGTAGGGTGGGGAAGATGTATTTACTTGCAGTTTTGTAAAAGGCTTTAAATTCTCAAAGAAAAAATTGAGTTTTTGCTTTTGTCTCATAGGTACTATTGTTGGACTCTGCTTGAATTGCTAAAGGTAGCTTAAAGCAAAGCTTTTCCAGTTAAAAGGGGAAAAGGTCTTTCCCCTACCCCGCCCCAGTACTGGCTCATGGTTACCTAAATAAATACAGAAAGAATTACAATGCAGGGGTAACTTAATTTTAACTTGGTTATATTATGCAATGAAAAGTATCTTATGTTCACCATGTTAAATTAGTTTAAATGAGATTATCTATTAAATAACATTCTCATTAGCAGACAGTTAGTGGGTTTACCTGCCTTTTAATATATACCCAGAAATGTAGTTCTGAGATTATTAATCCTTATAGTTAAATTTTGCCAAGTATCCCACTGAGTCAGTGTGGTGAATTAGCAGCATTCAGTACAATCTCTGTACAAATTATGTTTAGTTTACTCAACTCCAAACCAGCATTGCAAATATGGAAAATAATTTAAATCTATTTGTGTAATAGTGTAGGGGAATAGTGCATTTTAATTTTCTTAAAGCATTACTAATTGCTTGAGTGATTAAATAGAAGTGTTTTTATTTGGTTAGGAGGCTAAACACTTAGAGTTTTCCTTTTACTTGCAATTTTCCACACATCGGATTTTAATCTGACTTTAAAACATTATAGGATTGGCGAAAACAGTGACTCATTTATAGTAACTTGTAGATCTTCTCTCTGTCATATTCCATCATTAGGTTAGTTACTCTCCATGTCCCAGCCAAAGGAGCACATTTGCTCATCTTCTATTGATAACCAAAAATCCTACTGAAAGTAGAATTTTGTATTAAAAATGTAAGAGTAGTAAACCTTATGTGTTGATCACAAACATAATTTTTCAGTTGTTTCCAGTGCTTAGTGTAAGGCTTATTTATACAATATATTAGTGTGTGTAACCATCCTCTCTGGAATCCTCTGTGTTTCTGTATAATTATTTCTTGTAAACTTGACTGATTTCACTAGCCTGTAAGCTCCTGATGCTAAGGACTGTGTCATAATAGTTGCTTAGTAAATTTTTGATAGATGGATTAATGAGTAAATGAATCTTGGCTTATGTACTTAGTACTTGGTTTTCAACTAGGTTGTGGACGTTGGATTTTATTAGCATAGTCACCCACAGTCCTGGTCATTTTAACTTTTATGATAAAAACCATGCTTTTATTTAAACAATTTTTGAAAGTTGCATCCTGATATAATTGAGATATTGTATTTCCAAGCCTTTTCAGAAAGTGTTTAGTAGGCAATATGAAATAAGAATGAGGACCGCCATTTATTGAGGAGTTAAGGGCTCTAATGTATATTAACTCCTTTAGTCACTGTAAAAGACCTATGAGGCAAGTATTATTATTCAAAAATTGAGATACAGACTTTTAGTAACTTCCCTAAGGTTTTATATAGCCTGAAAAGAACTATGGGAATTATTTTGGAAAGAAATTTTCAGTGTCTATATATATGTAAGATCTCCTGTCCACTCACTTTAGTTCCGTGATAGATTAAATCCTTATGTGAATTTCAGATTTCTAATAAACTATATAGCTGGCCCTCTGTTGGAGATGGATGCTTAAAGAACCATTTATTTCAAATGAGGAATAGCATGAGTTCTGGCTTTAGAGGAGGGGAAAGAGCTGATAGTATCAGGAAATGCTTTCTCTTTGCACTGCTGATCTAAATTAAAATTAAGGAATCATGCTATTTCTGTCCATGTTCAGTTTGTTTAGTGCTGCAAACATATATTCAGTACTCACTTGGAACAGTACGTACTAGTAGATGCTATGGAAGATGCAAAGTTAAATGAGCTTTTTGCTATCCGTATGTAGATCAGAGGTGCTAAAAAGCCAAGCAAAGGTTTACCTTAGAATTAGTAGAAGTTAGTAATAAATAAAACAGGTATAAATCTCTAGTTCTGAAAAACTTTTTTGAATGGTTCATTAGTTCAATTTAAATCCACAGAATCAGGTATGTACAACAGCATTAGAAGCATAATAACAGCAAAGAGTGCAGGCAATGACTGAGGTAAGATTGAATTGTCTTCAGGGAGGCTTTCAGATAGAATGTTCTTACTTAATTCAAGTCTTCAGTTTGAAACTCCATTTTGAACATGTTCGTAAGCTTTGCACAGTGGCAGTAGCATAGCTAATGAGGTTTATCCGAGGTGCAATTATTACTAATCAAAAATGTTTCCAGAGTTAATGAGGCTGAGAAGCAGTGATTCTTGCTTCCAGACTTAAAAGTGATAGTTATAGATATAAAGGAAATTGTCGGGTGTGTCAAAGGACTCTTTACATTCTTCTTCCCTGTGACAACATATATGGCAAAGTGTTGGTGAGAATGAACTCAAAGCAGGATAAGTTAGTTGGATGGATTGTATCATCAAAGTATCTATTTCAAGAGGACTAAATTCTCAGGTCTGTCAACCAGGAAACTTCTGGTGATAAATTCTTCCTCTTTGCCCCTCTCCCTCCAACTTTTCTAGTAGGCAATGAATACCTCCCTCTTATTTTCTGCTAGGAACTCCCCCCCCCCCCACACACACACACTTTAGATATAATCTTATTAGTTAGGACACCCTTTTCTTTTTTTATAATCATATTTTCTTAGGCTGAGTCTGAAAGATAATTTCTTAGGGTAAGGTCAGCCATCTGGAAAATTATGAAGTATTGATTGATTTAAGTAAGGCCTACATTTCTGTAAGTCTTGCTATTTCTAGTTTATTTTTTTATTTTTTATTTTTTTTAGAAAATAAATTTTCAGTTTCTAAAAATAAGAAAGCATTCTCATATAGCTCTTAGTTATTCAGGCTAAAGAAAGTCTTAGCTATTTGATCATTAGACCATAATCAAAACATAAATATTGCCGAAACCGGTTTGGCTCAGTGGATAGAACATCGGCTTGCGGACTGGAGGGTCCCGGGTTCGATTCCGGTCAAGGGCATGTACCTGGGTTGTGGGCACATCCCCAGTAGGGAGTGTGCAGGAGGCAGCTGATCGATGTTTCTCTCTCATCGGTGTTTCTAACTCTCTGTCTCTCTCCCTTCCTCTCTGTAAAAAATCAATAGAATATATTTTAAAAAACAACAACAAATAAACAAAAAACATAAATATTTCTCTGGAAATAAGATATTCTGATAGTAGAGAGCATAAAATAAAAACTTGTTTCATATTATTCCTTAAAGAATGAATTTTTCTGGATAGCTGAATTTTACATACAACTAATAATTTATATTTATACTCCTCCTTAAAGATAGCAGTTTTCTTATTTGTCATTTTCTGATGGCCATCAAAGGCATTGAATCTTTTATATTGAATGGAATTAGTTATGTGCACCAAAACCTATTTTAATTAGTCTTTGTGTGTGTTTCCCTATAATATTCCATATTTCTTCGCATTATAAGCAGAAAAAATTATTTCAGATCTAATTTGACACTAGCTTACGGTTGGAAATAGCTTACGGTTTTCCATGTTCCAGTGAGTAGTAACTTCTTCCTTTTTCTAGTTTGCTGTTTCTGTTGTGCTTATGCCTATGATAGCATAATAAATTGTGCTGCTCTGAGTATGTGCAGATGTCAGTGCAAAAATTTTGTGACATATTTAGTTCACATATAAATTGTACTGTTTTCTTATAACATGAGTCAGGATAGCTGAGTTTCAGAGAGGTAAGCATTTGCTATTTCTAGAGGAAAAAATAGCCTTTATGTCTACCCTCACAAATTGTGTTCATAAAGTCACGATAAACGTCCCATCCTCTGATAGAATAACCATCTGTTTATGATGACTTAATAGGCAGTAGTCTACTATTTTCTTTTTTTTTAAATTTAATTAAATCTTTATTGTTCAGATTATTACATTTGTTCCTCTTTTTTCCCCCCATAATTCCCCTCCTCCCAGTTCCCGCCCCACCCCTGCCCTCACTCCCCACCCACTGTCCTCATCCATAGGTGCACAATTTTTGTCCAGTATCTTCCCACATCTCCCACACCCCTTTCCCCCCAAGAATAGTCAGTCCATTCCCTTTCTATGTCCCTGATTCTATTATAATCACCAGTTCATTCTGTTCATCAGATTATTTATTCACTTGATTCTTAGATTCACTTGTTGATAGATGCGTATTTGTTGTTCATAATTTGTATCTTTACCTTTTTCTTCTTCT